AATTTATTCTCAATTTAATAGATTTCCACTGATATTGTGTCAAGTGGAAAAGGTATTGTTATAGAGGTTTTGCATGGCAACCATGTTGCACGGCAGGAACAATGGACACTTTCTCCTATGGGGAAAAAATGTTCTTTCTAATGCAAAACATTTTCATTGCTCCTGCCATGCAAAACCTCTATGGTTACATCTCTTTAATATATACTTGAATGACTATTACATTTGACTGTCTATAGACTGGGTTTTTAGATTTCATGCATGGGATGTAAGTTTCTTTTTTTAATCTATTGAATGTGTATAGTATATAACATTAGACTTAAATGCATATTTACTGATATTAATGTCTTAGTCTTGAAAGAAATCAACTTGAAATCTTGTTTCCTCAGGAAGAATTTTTATTTTACAGGTATATTCACATGTAATTTTTATTTATTTATTGCATTGAGTTTGATTATACCACTTAGCATAAGAAGCAAATAACAAAATATTAATATCCTGTGTTTATTTTTGAGGGGGGTGAAATTGTTTCTTTTTAGTATCATTTTGCCATTTGGAATTTTTTGAGTAGGAAAATGACTGACTGGGCTTTTGTTTGGGCCAGAATAAAGGCCCTATAAATGGGTTGGCTGTAAGGTGGGGATCACTGTAGTAAATTCTTTAGATGCCTGACAAATGTGTGAAGTGTCGAAGTGAATAAATGAGTGAGACTAACAAATATATGAATTAAACTTTTAATGTGTGTTGTGAAGTTAACAGACTTATAAAGAAAATATCAATAACTCAATACACATGCAACAAAGCTCATTGGTTCAAGATTTGTAAAAAAAATTATGACTTTTGTTACTCCATTTGTTTGCAATATCAATTGTAAGAAGTTGGTCATACATCAAGACCATCTGTACTGAAGCTGTTGATTTTCTTCTCATCACCTGCCTGTGTCCACACATTTCAGGACTAACCATTTAACGTTCTATAGATAAAAGTTGCAAGATTCTTATGCAATGTTCACAGTGGTTTCCATCCTACATCCCAAACTAAACATCCTGTTTTCCAGTATGATCTTTGCTATTAATTTAATTTTGTATGTATTTAGGCAAAATGACCACCAATTAGCAATGAGTGTATAAAATGCTCTACTAACGGAACCTTTTTGCATATTTAAAAAAAAAGGTTTGTGCTCACTTTTCACACTTATCATCATGTACCTCTTATAACATCCAAGTTGCCATGGAGATTAAATCTTTATGGAAAAGAATTATTGTTTGAACCCTAGGACTCAACTTTAGTCTTAGGCTCTGTCTTGTTTGGTATACTTAGAACACAACATTGTGTCTAAGATTCTAAACAAACTTACTTTGCAACTTTGTTAACTTATGCTCTGATGTTAAGATGTGAGCAATGGCTGTTTACAAACCCCCTGTGTTTTGTTTATTTTAAGAAAAATTCTCTCCTGAGAACAGGAAAAGATCTGTCAAGTTTCTTAAGTACAAAACTTAGACTCTGTCATAAAAAGATGCTCTGATCACCAGGTTAGGAATCCCAGGGGAACTGTATTAATTCAGGGACTGTATCCCTCTGTTTCACATCAGCTAAATTTTGTGACTTGGAATCCATCAGGTCCTGGTTGGGATTAGAGACTGCGTGACGGGCGCCCAGAATGTCTGCTTAGCAAAATGCACCAGTGTGTAAATTGATCTTAATCCTCGGTAAACTTTTAAAACCATCCTGCCTCTTTTCCATTGTTCTATTGTATATTTTTCAGATTTTCTTTCGATCTTTAGTCTGAATACCCTGATTAAAAATGAGACAGAGATACGTTTTATTCTATTCAGCGCGCGAGGCTGCCTAGCGGATATAAAGTTTTACATCATCTACCAGACTCTGTTACGCCGAGAATGGCGCAGTCTCGCATTGCGTGACTAACCGGCGACGACGTGCGCTCGATGACGTCATAAGTCGATGAGACAATAGATTGGCTATTTGTGTCACGGAAAGTTATGTTTCAGCCGTCAGTAAGTTTCAACGCAATGGACTTGATAGAAGCAATAGGCCAGTTGCAAGCAAACAGGGGATTCCGGTTTACACAACGGCATCGAAAAACGCTTCTGTTTTTTTTTTAAACCGTGTGTTCTTGCATGATTTTTGCAACTGTCTACATCTTCATTTATTTTAAAGTTCCAGATCGAAGAAACAGACAAAAGACCGCGAGATAATTTAATTTCAATTACTGTTAATAATGTTTTATTAAACTTTGGACACACAAACAAAAAACATTAATTTTGGTTCGCAATTCGATCCTACGATTCAATTTTTTAGTCTCGTAAATCATCTAGCTGTCTCGCATTTGGTGCATTGCGTTGTCAATCGGACTGCGTATATGGCAAACTTTTCAATTCAACCCACACATGGTAGTCATGTGGGCTTATGCTCGCCGCTCCAGTGATTCGCGATGTCGCACATGGTCCATGCGTCAGTCGTTTTAACTTTCAAGAGTCGAGTATTCGCAAACGCTGTCAGTTTATGCACGTGAAATCTTGGCACAGTTTTTTTCGTACGCGTGGCGTCTTCGTAGGTGTGTCCAAACTGAAACGCGACGCAACAATGTCAAGTATCACAAACACGCCTCAACACCAACGGGTCGCGAGAATTTTCTCTTGATGTAAACTCGCGTACTTAGCAAAATTATAATATCAGCTGCCAAGAAGGTATTACTGCTTGCCGAAGTTTAGTTTCCAGGGCCTTCTAAGTCAATCTCGATTCTTCTTGCATTCGAGTTTTATAATAAAAGCAATTGGTAGGCGTATTAACCGGTAACAAGGCAATTTTAATTCTGGCATTCTGTCAAAGTTTTGTGTGTTTAACGCGCGCGGCAAACTAATGGATATTTTCCTTTCATAAAATAATCTACACCCAGATCATAACTTCGGCGTGGTTGCTATTTTTATCGTTTGTAGCCGATAAATATCGCCTTATCAGTCTTGCAAAGATTCTTATATCTTGAGACACGGGGGTTAGAGTCAGTTTACAGGAAAAATCGTACCTAAACTACTTGCCCCCAAACGCGTCTTGTAAAGGACGAAATGTTAATTGTGCAAATGGAATCTGACTTGTCTTTTGACTGGGTTGAAATAATTTGAGTGGACAGCATTTGTAGCAAGGCGCGTGCTAGTTACCTATTTTAGAATAACAAATCTCTACACGCGGGTTTACACTTGATCGCACTTCCAAGTTCGCAACTTTGTCAAGCACAGTTGTGTTTGTCCCCAGACGGCTGAATGACACTTTTCTGCGGTTTATTTGCTGGTTGCCGACACAAAAGAACTCTGTTATCGCACTGTATGCATTGACCTGCTCCAGGTGAAGATCGGATCCCTGGTTGCTACGGTGTTCATAACCTGCTAAGCAATTATGATAAACATGTAGGCGTGACAGATTTGAGGGAAAAAAAGGGACAACCGACGAAATCACCACCACCAGCCACACTGATTCAATTCAAAATGTTTTTGTGGCAGTAGATAATTTGCTCTATTCTTTCCAAGAAACACACATTCCAAATCTTTTTTGAAGGTTATGTCAAGTCGTAAAGGGATTTAACTTCATTACTGTAGTGCGCGTCCCTTGGGGGTTGCCGGTGGCTCACGCCTTCATTTTGAGGTGTAAACAAAGTTGTTTTGCACGAAAAGCCCTTTAAGTGAAGGGTGGTATTCCGACCGACAATCATTCCGCCCTTTACCGAAGTCGTTTTACATCTTCCGCGTCATTTCGTAGTCCGGAATTACTCTTCGGAGGGCAACTTAGCAAAGGAAATTTGAATTTCCGACATCTCGACCCAAATACTTGAAAGGTCGTCAAGACAAAAAATATCTATTTATGTTTGTCAATTTCAGCACGTGTACCTTTTGGTTATTGAATTCACGAGCCAATCGCTGGGCAGAAATTAGCATTAATTAGCTTAGTAGGGTTTTGTTGGCCCCGCCTCCCAAAGCACGGAAACGGTTCTTTTGTTGTCATTGAGCGGAAACAAAACCCACTTTCAACCATACCCAGCTGTTGCCGTCATTTAAAAATATTCATACTCGAGGATTCGCACATGAATTGTACATAAGCTTCTGCGCTGGTTCGCGGTAAGATCTACGTCCGTAGATCGACATCGTTTTTGTGGACTGTGTTCCGCTTAGGATTTCAGTTACCCTTAACTCTGTCTGACTTGGTCACAAGTTATTCCTGTGATTTAAAGAGCGGAGAATCGCCAAAGGATATATTCGCCGGAAATTTTTCGTGGGATTGCGTTCGATCGTCTGGTAATACACAAGCGCCGATTTGAAGTTTGAAGCGAAATGGGAACTCAAGCTTTCTTTTCTCCCAGCGTCGCCTTGGACACTCTCTCGGCCGCGAGATGTTTACTCGATATGTCAAAAATTTTTCCAAAGAAACCTGCCCCAGTGTATTCTGAAAACTCGTCGTCGTCGCCTCTGTTGATGTTCGCAAAAATCTTGGCTTCCATGGAGGAGGAGTGCTTTATGATAGAGAAACATTCTTGCCTTTCGGACTCTTCAAAGCAGACGTCGAACGTCAAGATAGGACCCGGGTTCGGCGTACATTTTAAGGAAACAGAGCGGGAAAAATGCACGCTAGATGTAACCCCGAAGGACAGTGCTAGCGTTACGCGACGCGATAACGACGACACGCCCTCTGAGCCCAGTGAACTGATCACGAAACCAAAACAAAAAACCCGGCGACGAAACGCACGGAGAAAGAGCGAGCAAGAGAAGAAAACTCACGTCTGTCAGTACCCTGGTTGTGATAAAAAGTACGGCAAGAGTAGCCACCTGAAAGCGCACCTTCGCACGCACACGGGAGAACGTCCATTTCACTGCACTTGGATAGGTTGCGAAAAAAAGTTTGCTCGCTCCGACGAGCTCGCCCGTCATTACCGCACACATACGGGTGAGAAACGGTATGTCTGTGGGATCTGTAGCAAGCGTTTTATGAGAAGCGATCACCTTTCGAAGCACGCGAAAACACACGGATTGAAGTCCCGCAAAGAACTAAACAGACCCACAAACCCAATGTTCTTTTGAAACGGAACGCGTTGGTTGCGCGCTTGAAGGACAGCACGACAACTCATCGCTGCCTTTGAAGGAGAGCCACGCGTGGGCTTGCGTGCTAACTTGACTGCTGCTCAGTTACGAGAACTGTGCAGTAACAAATACAACCGCAGGGGACATTTTACCAGAGTTTAAAATAGATCAAAAAAAATTATTAGAGCTTGTAGCTTCTTAAATTACCCTTGTTCCCCCAGACTAGTATTTACACACATGAGATCGCCCAGTGGTATTGACAATTGATTTTATATATTTTATTATAATTTTTATGAACAAGAATACTCGGTGATCGAGACGCACTTCACCATCAATTTTAATCTTGAGCTTCACAGAATTCAGGAAATAATTTTGTAGATTGAATAGGTGTTTGTTACACCCTTTTGTAAATTAAAAATAATTTTTTTTCGTGAAAGGCAAAATTTTTCAATCAGGCTTTTAGCATGTTTAATGAATTCAGCTGGACTGGATCCGAAATAGTTTGGTGCTGCTTACATCTTTTTATTTTAAAACTTCAAATAACAAGACCTGACACACTAAGTTAATAAAAAATCTTGGCTGATTTTATGGCATAAATACTTGTTGTTAATCTACCGATTTTTTTGTAAATAACAAAGAAGTTCTAAAAGTTGTTGACTCTGTCCTCTTCTATTACGCAATATAGTGCGCGCTACGCGGGGCTGCTTTTGTAAACAACTATCATCATTACATTCAAGCGAATGGCTTGAAATCAATATTGCTGATCAACAACGTTATTCAAAGCCGTCATTCATTGCTCTAACCGGGCTTTGTTTCATAGTACAAGATCTTAAAACTCGTAGAATAGAGTTTCGCGCTATGACCGACAAGAGCTCTAAACTGATGAGCTGTTCGCTTGTCACTGAACATGCAAATTTTGATCTTGGAAGAAATGTCAAGGGCAAAGGACCCACGTATAAATTACAATAAGCAAACTAGTTGAATATAACAAAGAGCAGCTGTGAATGAACTGAATTAGATTGCACACGCCACAATCCTGGCAATGTTTGCCCCTTGCAGATTTTTAAAATGAACTTGTTGATCTTTTCGTTCGAGGTGTAATCGTTGATTTGAAATCAAGAAATGTTTAAAACTGTTAATAGCAGTTATTAACATTGTTTTGCTTTCGAAAAAAGAAAAAGAAAAAGAATGAAAATAACCTAGGCATTAGGTTAGCAGTGAAAAGCGAGTCAGGTTTTTCTTAACTGTATGTAATTTTTCCTCAGTCAGATTTGCAAGACGATCTTGTGGTTTTTCTTTTCAAAGAACAAAAAACCTCTCACCAAACAATTGAAACTGCACGAAAATAGCTCCCTCGGGCCGGTTCAAGGTCAGACCACTCTTGATGAAGACTGTGTTACTTAGACACCTCAGTCATACAAGATTGACAAGAATGGTTGCATTAAACTCGTACTGTCGAAAATCAATACAATTTTTCTGTATTATTTCCGAAATTTTGAAGCCTTACATGAATGCCTTCAAAACAGAAAGGATCTTTCTTCTGTTGTTCAAAAAGTTAAACAATTCTCCCGCTGCATTTATACTCCATGCAGCTGCCGATTTTGAATAAAACAAACAAACTCGATATGCTTTTGGTAGATAAGACTTTAATATGGCTTTGCGCTAATGAATTTATCAGAAATTCGTAATAATTCTTAGAGAAAACATCATGCGCCACCCACATGTATACTGTAAACTAGCATTTTCTCAGTGCTTTAACTATAAAACTCTAATGCCTTTGCCATTTTCATATTTGTCTACATTCCGATGTCAAAAAAGACCTATTCTGGCCTTTGTTTCGTATCTTGTATTTGAAGAAAGAGCTTTCTTTATATTGCACGATTGTTCACTGCAGCTGCCACGCGCCGAAGTTCTTTATCCCGTGAAATCTTCTTTGTCTTATTATTTAAATATGCGAACTTTGTCCCGTTCGAACATAATCTTCACTGTTCCTGCTTCTTTAGCAAAAAGCACGTGTTTGGTAAGCCGCGAAAGTGTTTTTCACAAGTCGCAATTTTGTTGGTTTCCGGTGGTTGCATAAGCCGGCAAAAGTGTAAAATATCTTTTGGTTAACAAGAGAACATGGCTGCCATTTATTTCAAAACCAGCTGGGAACACCCCCTATGCCATTATTCCACAGGTGGCCGTTTTCTTCGAGCTTATGGCAAAGTCAGCAATGAATTCCGTTTTCAATTCGCGTGATATTGATTGTTTAACAGGTACTTCGTGGAGGATGCAGTAGTTAAGAAAGAAGCCATTGGAAGTTGCTCCGGCGACACTAAACAACTGTTATGTTTAAAATTAGCTGTGTGTAGAAGCCGCTCTTTCATATAAAATTTTGAAGTGTGTGAAATTTGAATTTTCTCTACCCATCTCGGAATGAGCAAAAATGACTTTTATTGCACAAATGCCTTAGCCTCGTAGCTGATCTTCAATAGTTCGAAGCGTACTTCTAACAGACAGTCGATTTTGAGAGTGCGGAAGGAATTTCAGTTTTAATCACGAGGAACGAATCAAGTTTGAGCAAACCTTGTGCACAATTTCCAGCCGTGCGCTTCACTTCTATTCGTTGCTGTCGCACTTGAGCGAACAAAGCGATCAACGACAGCCGTTCCACCTCGTCAGAAAAAGGCACTAATTAAAAATCGATTAGCTTTGTTAATGAGGGTGAAATAGCCGCCCGCTGTGGACCTTAGCGACTTCTAACAGTCACGTCGAGACACGAGGGCGTTCAAATCTACCCGTGCGTGAAACTGAGAAATTTCTTTAACACTCTTCCTTCAAAGTCGCTAGCTTCTGGGTTGTTTGAGCCTCAGTTTTGCTACATTTCGCATTCCCCGCTGAATTGAAATTTTTTTGTTCTTTGAAATTAAGGGCTTTTTAGGAACCAGTTAAAAATTTAAAAAGCAAGCTAGCCTCCGTTTAATGGTTTAAAGTGCGAATTGGCTACGTTAGGTCTATCGAAGGTTTATTCATGTTTCTTGGACGCAAATTATTTATTTAATGAATATTTTTACTCTGTAGGTATCTACTCTATCGGTCAGGAATAATTTTTAACCCTTGTTTGAATTCAATATTTCGGAGTTCAGACCGAATTTATTTCTTTTACTAAAATTTTTCTTTGTCTCTTGTCTCTGCAGATTAAAATTTTCAGTAACAAGAACTAGAGATAGTTTTTCGCTACAAGACAAGCGTGACGCACGCGATAGTGCTCGCGCGAAGCTTGCGTGTTACGCGTGGCAATCACGCGAGATTTATTTTGCCGTCAACTTCTTTTATATTGCAAACCTTCATAATATTGTCAACTTTGACTATTTGCACTTGAGGTAAGTCTCACATCAAAATGGTTGATGTAGTCATAAAATGAAATAGAATACGTGTTGTTCCATATTTTAATTCTTCAATTTTCAGGCGAAGGCTGAGAAGTACTTGAACTAAACACTTGCAAATTAGCGAAAAAATTCGTTGAACGTTTTTTTTAACCGGAGCAAAATTCTAGTCACGTCTTCCTTGTAAAAGTAATACGCACGTCATTGATCTTAGTAATTTAGCAATTATTAGGACAACTCTCACTTGAAAAATTGGCCAAGCGATAACTTAGGACAAGAATGAAATATGCCCAGCAGTTTAATTTTTCTTATTTAATTTTCATGATTTTCGTACAAGGGAAGTTTTGACTCTACGAAAAAGCGGCGGCGTTCTGCTTTTTGGGTGTGAAATTTTTGCGTGATATTATTCGTAACCCCGCAAAAAAGACGCAAGAATATGTTCGTTTATTTCTGTTAAGTGAAAACCTTAACAAGACAGAAGTCGTATTTCCGTCAACCATCACCCGATACAGAACGGCTTTTATTCGTGTTATTGTACAAATCCACAACAGAAACTACCGTAAGAATCTCTGGGTTAGCCGTCAAAACCGACTTCCGCCTTTTAATTCAGAAGACGCCATTCCCGTGGAACGCATATGACGTATAATACGCTTCAGACGTCGGCGTCCGCGTCTTAGAAGATTAATACATCTTATTTTGCGTATTTGTCTCTAACGTTTTTCATGACCTATAGGTTGTATGTCTTCCAATATAAATTACGTCAATGCTCATAAATTTTGTGACGATCTTCATCGACCTAGCCTCCTACGTAGACATTCTTTGATAAGAGCGCAATGGCAGTCAAGTCCCGCTTTTTCCCCTCCCCTTGTTTGGCCGAACTACACTTCCGCGGGAAGAGTAAACAGAAGGGGGTAATCTGCCCCAATTTGAATTGACCAATCAGGATTCAGTAGGCGGCAAAAACTGTACCATACCGACGTCAAACTCATGTTAACAGGAAAGGCATTGAAGTCAGTGGAGACGGCTTCGAATGCGATAAACTGCGGGTGTCTTGAAAGCAAAGACCCCCTAAGATCCCAAAGACACCCTAAGACCCCCTAAGACCCAAAAACTTGAAAACAAAGACACCCCATTTTTTTTTACATATTTTTTTGGAGGGGGCGCGAAGGAGTACTCCTCTCTCCAGTACGCCCGAAAGAATCAACCATCCTTGGAAAAAGTCACCTTTTTCTGAGGAATGGGGAGGGGAGGCTATTCTTGTAATTTTTCATGTGTACAATAATCGGAACAGTTTAAATTAAAAGTTAAAGTCTTCTGTTTGTACTCTCTCTTCTTTTTGTCACTTCCCCCAAAACTGTCTTTCTCTGAGGGGAAGGGGTGGAGTTTTAAAAGATGTACCACCCTCCGTTCTTAATCTCCTGTGCACGAGGAGAGCACAAGGGTGCTAAACTGACAACTGTACTGTACTCAACCTCGCCCCAGCACTCTCTCCTTTTTCTTTCCACCCGACCTAAAGAACTTGTCTTTTTCGAAGGGGGTGGAGAGGGGGAAGAGAGGGAATTTGAAAATAGATCATCTTGGATTTTACAGCGCGTTCAAAGTTAACTAAAACAGTACAATACTCTGCTTTTCAAGGCTCAATTTGTGAAAAAGCTCACTCGAATCGACACGTAACTCTGTTCAGTCTAATTTTAGCTCACTGCTGTGATTAGCAACTTTGCACAGACATCGTGAGGCCGTGAGACTTTGTGAGGGGGAGTAGCCTGGCGTTAAACATTTTGTAGCCGGTGCCAGTGCTGTGCGTTACCACACGTGACCGAAAGTATACAGAAAGTAGATCCTGCCTGAGGTCTTGGGCAGACTAAGTCATAAATCACTTGCCAAGGAATTTATACAGTGTCACAGTACACGTCTATTTAACTTTTATTAATCGCCTTGCATCGATCTCGCGTGTACTTCCTAACTTTTGGTCGTTACTAGTTTGTAGGGATTCCGGTCCCCACGGAGAAAAGACGAGTCAAATTGGATCTTTGGGCATTATTTGATACGTAAATGTTTCAGAAAATCGGGAAATTAAGTTCCCACGAAAATAAGTAAC